GATGGCTCCTCTGCTCCGTTCCCCTCGGCTCGGTTTCCGAGCTGTGAGCTCTGGGGTGGGAGTGGGGGCGGGTAGCAGGGGTCCTGGGACTTCGTGCGCCGCCGGCCTGGGCTCACCGCGGACGCCCTTCCCGCTGCAGGACACCACCCCCGACGAGCTTCTCTCGGCGGTCATGACTGCGGTTCTCCGGGACGTGAACCTGAGCCCGACCCAGCTAGGAGACATCTGCGTTGGTGAGCTCGCTACCCAGGCCCTACGCTGGGTCCCCTTAGCAGCCCTATCCCGCCAAAACTCTCCTCAAGCACCTCCCTGTGCTCCAGGCACTTGCCAGGTGTTTTCACTGAGGGGAATGTCACGCAGTTGAATTTGTGTCTTTAGGGCTAGATTCCGTCCCCGCCCCCGGGCACTTTCCTGCCCCTCCAACCACATGCTGCATATTAAGTATGGTAGAAAGCAGAGCTCTCAAGTGACAGACAGCCCAACGCCAGGGTACTTGACACCCTAGGAGACAGGAGACTATAGGGTTCTCTCCAGATCCTGACATCCTGTTTCTGCCACAGTTCTATTTTTTAGAACATAAAAAAATCATCTAGTTCAATCCCTCACTTACAGATAGAAAAACTGAGGCCTGGGGAATTTGCCACAGAACTTGGGATCTGAATCCAGACCTCTTGACCTTCAGTCCACCCCTTTTTCCCCACCCCCAGTCCTCTAGCCTCAAAACACAACACCGTAATGTGGCAAGAGTCTTGTCAAATACCGTAGGTGCCACCTCTAGTTGGGGAATCTGTTCCACCTACGAGGGAAGCCGAGATTGGCCGAGGACACCCGCGGAGGTGTACATTTGCACTCATCTCCACGAACCGACAGAACTGGTTCATTCGGCTTCAGACTTTGCATGGCATCTTTTCTTCCTTTCCGTATTATCCTTAAAGGCAGGCAGCCTGCCCAGTGTGTGTTGATCTGGGGCTGGGTCTAGTGTATGACCAGGACGAACTGCTGAATAGCTGGTTCCCCCTGCTCCAGACCTTGAAATTCCAGAGACTCAAGTGAACCTGCTGAGGGCGTATGTTTCTGAAGAAAGATCTGGAATGTCCCCTCTCTGCTATTCACAGCTGTACCTTAGTGCCCAGACCACCACCTCGCACTGAATAAAGTATTGTTGTCCACAGGAAATGTGCTTCAGCCAGGGGCCGGGGCAGTCATGGGCCGAATTGCCCAGTTTCTGAGGTAAATTTTAACAGTTCTAGCTCTGGGTTGGCTATTTTGACTCTTGGGTGGGCTCAGGCCTCCACCTGTTGATGGGGGATATCAGGGTGGACACCAGACCTGGAGGCCGCCAGGGCCCTGGGCACCCACTCTTGTGAACTGTACTTTCCCCTAATTTGAAGGGAGCATGTGTTACCTGGCGCTGAGCCAGGACAAACAGGCTCTGGGACTAGAGCAGAAGACCTCTGTGACATGATTTTTAGCCACGTCAGCTTGTGGCTTGCTTTTTGTAAGTACTGGACGGACTGTCCTCTTTTGCCAGGTATATAACCAGGTAGGAACACTCAAGGGTGACAATGAGCTTTTTTTCAGCTGAGCAAGCTGGGACCTCCAGGCATATCCTGTCAGCAGCATCTTGGGGACAGGGCAGAACCCTGAGGAGGACCCTGGTAAACTTGCCCTTCACCGCTTGCTGTCCTAAGACAAAGGAGGAGTGCTTCAATCATCCTCGCGTGTAGATGTGCTAACCACTTAGTTCTGTTTGTACTCCCAGCTGTATAGAGAAGAAATAATGGGAACATTAGCTAGCGAAGGAACAGGAACACTGGGAAAACCTCTAGGGACTAGGAGAGGTTCAGGCTGCTTAGCCTGGAGTTCAGGACTCCCGGGATCTGGCTCCAGACTTCCCTTCTGCCTTATCTCCCAGCTGCTGCCTCGCCTTGACCCTTCGTCTTTCAGCCAGACTGTCTGCCTGCTGTTTCCTACGCCGGTCATCCTGTCCCCTTGGAGTGCTGTCCCTACCTCCTCCCTCTGCCCTCGCTAAACCTTGCCCAAACACAGTGTCACCATTTTGGCCTGACTTGCCCGAGCGCCCAGGCTTAAATTGAGTGCCTCTGCCTCTCCAGTAGCTAGCCATGTGCTTCCTTGTGACGTGCTTTGGCATCTTGCTTTATTATTTCAGTCTCTGCTCGTTGAGTTACTTTTCGTGTGTTGGTTGGGTGTCCTCTAGGGCACTGTATCATAAGCATGTCAGCATCCTTCAGGTCGTGTCTTGTACTTAGTGTTTAGCGAACACCTGGTGGGTTGGGTGGCGAGGTGGTAACTAGGCAGTAGGGAGTTAGGGAACCTGGGAAGGATTAAATAGGCTGCACGGGCCTAGGCGGCGATCCACATGATAGGGTCTCAGAAGAGCCTGGCCTGGGCACTGGCTAAGGTGGTCCCAGCCCTGGCTGCACACCAGAATCGCCAGAGTTCTTTGATTTCCCTGAGCTCCCCAGGGCTTTGTACCCTTGGCCAGGGCAGGTTACATCAGGAGGGGCAGCCCCACCCTTCCAGGTTGGAGACCAGGGTGGGAGCCTCGGGGAGCCCACCAGAACAAGGGATGTCAGAACACCTGGTACACATCAGGTTCTTTGACCAGCTGGGAGCAGGCTTCCCAGAGAGAAGGGAGACAGAAAGGTTCAGCCATGTGGTTATTAGTACGGCTGAAGAGTAAAGGTATTTCTGGCCTCATCCTTTAGACATTTCTTTCGTCTGGTTCTGTCCCAGCAGTAGGTCCTCTTCTCTGTTCTTTGGGGGAAACAGAGATGTATAGTTTTCATTTCTGAATCTTCAAAGGGAGAGGAAGAGGATCGCTGTGGCCTAACCAGCCTTCCCTTGCCCTTGGCCTGTGCTTGGCCTTGGTCGAGGAAAGCCACAGGATGGGAGGGCATGTGCTTCTGGGGCCCTGGGGAGCAAGCGCCTGTAGAGATGGGGTCTGCCCAGTATATTATCTGGCCTGGAGTAGGGGTCAGGGCTGTTGGCTTTGTTCCCCTGGTCTCTGTACCCCCCGATGGGGCAGTCCTATTGGCCAGGAACACAGCCTGCTTTCTGTGAGATGGGAGAGCCTGGTAGGGGAGAGGGACTGACTCTATGGTGTCACCTTCTGTTTCAGTGACATCCCAGAGACTGTACCTTTGTCGGCTGTCAATAGACAGTGTTCTTCAGGGCTCCAGGCAGTGGCCAACATAGCTGGTAAGTTGTGACTGGGTGGGTTCCCATTGCTACAGCCTGGCCTTAGTCCGGGCTCCATGAGTTTGGGTCAGCAAAGTCACTCTCTACTGGGCAAGCAGTAAGGACTTCTGAGAGGACCCTAACCATGGAAACATAAGGAGAACCCCTTGCCGCTATCTCCAGCCTTTTCTGGACATTTCCTGGGGCTTCCATTTCTGAGGCTGGGGCTGAGTCCCACTTAGAGACCAGGTGGGGAAGAGGCCCCCCTGTTTCCAGAACAGATAGACCCTGTTGAAGGATGTTTATGAAATGCTTTTGTTGCAGGTGGCATCAGAAATGGGTGTTATGACATTGGCATGGCTTGTGGGTAAGAATTTCTTTCTGCCAGAGCTTATTCACCAGCTTGTAACAATACAACTAATACTCACCTCCTAAGTTCTCAGAGGCCATGATTTCAGGATTGTCCCCTTTAGGATTAGCCCCTTTGGGCAGCTGACTGGGAGAGGGTTAGAGAATTCCTACAAATTCAGCTTAGAAGTAGCCCCCAGCTCTGGCTGCTCAGGAATTGCTCAGACCTCTCAGCACTAATGGGGAGAGGAAGTTGGCTTTTAAAAGCTTTCATTCTTGGAAGTCTGGTAGGCTGGAAAATGTGGCCAAGCATTAAGAAAAAAGATAGCTCTTGGGTTCTCTTCTGTGGCCCTAGTTGATTCATGCTGCTGCTGAGAGAGAAGGTGCAGTTTTGGTTCCCTGAAGCCAAGGACAGCTGCCTACTATGTAACTAGTTTATTCATTGGACCCCTCCCCTGGGCCAAGGTGGCAACTTCTGGCTGCCCCCTGGGTTCTGAGCGGCATGGTCAGATCTGCGTGGTTCGGTCACTGTCAGCTGCCGCTCCATCTTTGGCTGCAGCCTATGGAGCTGCAGAAGTTGTATTGGGCAGTGCCTCCAGAGAGGGTAAGGGCACTGGGGCCCAGGCTTGGGTGGGCATCTGGTGCTGGGAGGGCAGGCCACGCGAGGGCTTTGGCAGGTCCAGGGTGGCGAGCAGCTCCAGGGCTTGCTCCCTCTGCCTTTCAGTTCCTCTTTATAGCGTTTCTAGACTGGAAACATTGCTAGGCCATCTCAGGGCTGTGCCAAATGGCACTGGGTTGTCCTGCCTTGTGTCTGCAGCTGTAATAAAGCCAAAGACCATGCTGCAGGGACTTTGACTGGGCAAGGGCCACTGCCCAGTCTGCTCTCTAATCAGTCTGTCATGTTCCTCTAGCGTACTAGGGGACGGAGGAGTGGGGGTAAACTGGAGGAGAAGGCTGGAGCCTTCATGAGTTTCTTAAAGGGGATCTGAGTCCCCAAGCAGGTTAAAGACCATGTTACTATGGTATTAAGGGTCTGGGCCAGGACTGTCCCCCTCATCACAGGCTGACTGTCTCCTGTAGGCTTTGATCATGAAGAGTAGCCCAGGGCATCCTAGTTGGGAGTGGGCTCTGGGGCCAGACGACCTAAATTTAGATCCCAGCTGAGTGGCCATGGACAAGTTACTCAGCCTTTGGGCCTCAGCGTCCTCATCTATAAAGCGGTGATAACTACCTTGGACCTGTTGAAACTGGTAAAGTTAAATTGAGTGATAACAGCTAGCATTCTAGGGCATACATCATGTGACTGACACTGTTTGAAGCACTCTGATACCTGAAAAAGTTTTTAAAACAGTGGACACAAGAAAACTATTCCGTCAAGTTTGTATGTTATCATCCCTTGAGGCCGTATGGTCCCCTGCCTCCTCCAAGCCCCTTTTGACCACACTAAACTGAGATCTCACCTTCCTGCAGCTCTTACCACCTCCTTGTCTATGCAGGTCACATCGCTCTTTGATCTGCAGCTTTTAAAATACTTATTTCTTTTCTGCTCTGAATCTGTGATCTCTGAAGGCAGGGCCCTGGCTTGTTGGAGATGTTTCCCCCTCTGTAGCTGACACTAGGCTGACGGGCTGCAGGCGCAGCTACCTTAGGGATGCATGGCCCTGCCCCGGAGTGTGGGGTGGGGGTGGAGGCAGAGGCAGAGCTCAGCAGCCCTGCACCCCCAGCTCCACCTTGCTGGCCAGTGCCCTGCCCTGGGCTCCCTGGCTATTAAGCAGCACTTGCCAGATGCACAGCTTTCCCTGGGGGGGGGGGGTCTTGCTAGTGATTACCTCCTCCTCAGGGTGGAGTCCATGTCCCTGGCTGACAGAGGGAACCCTGGAAATATTACTTCGCGCCTGGTGGAGAAGGACAGTGCCAGAGATTGCCTGATTCCTATGGGGTGAGTGTCCTGTAGCTCGGTGTGCCTGTGGCCCCTCAGCTCCCTGCCTGGCCTGGAGCAGGGGCATGGGAACTTGGACCATCTTGTGATGGGCGGTGCCAACCCAGGCCTCCTGCTTTCGGGCTTGGTCTGCTCTGCAGGGACTCTGGGGATGGGACTTGATGCTGCCCCTGACTTCCCAACCGTGGCCCAGCCTGTCACGCCTACCCTGAGGGGCTCAGTCACACAGGGATGATGGCAGCTGTACCCCAAAGCCTTGGAGGCCTGGAAAGTTGGGGAAATGGGAAGCTTTCGGTTACCGGACATGCTGCTAAGGGAACTTGGCCCCGTGAGATGCAGCATCAAAAGTGTGTTGTGTTCGCACAGTACCGTAGCGCTCCTGTGAGCGTCACTGAGCTCCCAGGGTCCGTGGGCAAGGAGTCCTGGCTCCACTTGAGGTTCAGAGAGGGGCAGTGCCCTGGCTGCCTCCACATCCAGCGACCATACCTCCAAGGGTAGCCTATAAAGCCGGAAGCCCAGGCTGGAAGGCCTAGCCGCGGCTCTGGGTTCCCGAGATGAGCGTAGGTGCCAACCATGGTGAGCAGAAAGCCTAGGTGAGGCCTTCCCAGAGGGGATTCAAGTCCTCAGCTCCCACATTAAAGCAGCTTTCCTGAGGCATAGAAGCTGGCCAGTTAGTGCCCCACCCATACCCTCATCTGTCTCGTTTCTAGTCTCTGGTGGATGAGCTTCCCAGGTTCTGGGTGGCTCCCTGTCTGTGCCCCTGCATTCCACCCTGAGTCGTCACTACTGTCTCTGTGGCATGGACTGGCTTTCCTGCCCACCCCTGCCTACAGCCCTGGGGCCCAGACCATAGCATGGCTCGCAGACTGGCCGGTTCCCTCACCCACACTGTTGCTGTTTATCTTCTAGGATAACCTCGGAGAACGTAGCGGAGCGGTTCAGTATTTCGCGGGAGAAGCAGGATGCCTTTGCACTGGCTTCCCAGCAAAAGTGAGTGCTGTTTGGGGCGGGGCGTTTAACAGGCGGAGAGTGAGGTTTTGAGGCTGACTTTTGAGCTGTCCTCAGGCCACAGAGAAGCAGCGAAAGCTTTCCAAGCGTCCCAGGAGGGAGAGGTGAACAGGGGCCAGGGCTGCTGTGCCTTGTTAATACTTCCATGCCCTACTCCTCTCTGTTCACCCTGAGTGTCTTCTCCCTGGTGGACCTCAGTTTCCCCATCTACTCATTGCGGGGTGTAATGAAGGCTAGGTGTTGTCTCTAATTGCTGTGGTTTGGTAGTTAGACAGTGGAAGGCAGGGCCTCCTCTGGATAGCCTGGAGTTTGGGGCCAGCATTGCTGGGGACCCTGGCACCCCAGCTTCTGAACCACTCCTTGGTCTGGGGTAGCATCCTGAGGCAGGGGCTGGGGATTACATCAGAAGAACCCCAGGGGTTCAGGCCTCTGGACAAGCCCCAGCTGCCCAGAGAGGACGTAGTATCCAGCCAGGTAGGCTTCTCTGATGCACTAGGGTCAAGTAACCCTTGAGAATTTGGTGAAAGCTGTGGGTTCCTCCCATGGAAATGCATATAATGATTATTACAAGATCACCTGAAAATGCTTTGTGCTTTTACACTGTTTCAATACTAAGATTCATCTGGTAGTTTAGTATGTTATTTTAAATAAGCAAACACTGGGGAACGGATGCAATTGAGCCATTGGGATCAAATAGAAAAGTTGGCAGAACCCAGAATAAATATCCCAGGGCTTCCATCATCAGTTTGGCATAGAGAACCAAGCAGGCTTAGTCCCTGTTTGGTGACAGGCTCAGGGGGGAGCCACCACCTCTCTGCCTCCTCCTCCCTTCAAGGTTGGGATTGGTCAGGATCTGAGGCTGATGGCAAAGAAGACACCAGGAGGCTTTGGGCCTCCCAGGGTCAGGTGGGGATGGTGGGGAACCCACATCCGTCCCTCAGCTCCGAGGTGAGCGTATCCCAGCATTTAGCAGTCTGAGCTTGCGTGTCTGCCCCCGCAGGCAGGGGGTGGAGGCAGTGGAGGGGCCCCAGAAAGGAAGGGAGCCTGAGCCTGGCTGTCCATGGTGCTGGCAGGGCAGCCAGAGCCCAGAGCAAGGGCTGTTTCCAAGCTGAGATTGTGCCTGTGACCACCACGGTCAATGATGACAAGGGCACCGAGAGGACTATCACCGTGGTCCAGGATGAGGGTATCCGCCCAAGTACCACCATGGAGGGCCTGGCCAAACTGAAGCCTTCCTTCAAGAAGGGCGGCACTACCACAGCTGGTAAGACTAGGCTGGGGGTAGGGGAAAGGAAGGGGCCGTGTCCATGCTAAGTGCTCTCTGGGAGCTTGGACCCCCCGCCCCAGGCAAGGTGGACATGGGAGGCCTCCTTACCCCTGTGATTTGCCTCTAGGAAACTCTAGCCAGGTGAGTGATGGGGCAGCTGCTATCCTGCTGGCCCGGAGGTCCAAGGCAGAAGAGCTGGGTCTTCCCATCATTGGGGTCCTGAGGTCCTATGCAGTGGTTGGGGTCCCGCCTGACATCATGGGCATTGGACCTGCCTATGCCATCCCTGTAGCTTTGGAAAAAGCAGGTAAGGTGGCTGCTTCACAGCCTAGATCTGGATCCCATCTGGGTCTTAACTTCTGCCTGTCATGCTGTTGTTGCCAGAAGGGGGTGGTCCTGTGGGTGCTGCAGAGTGAAGGGGGAGCAGACTAGCACCCCTACCCCAAGCCCTTCCTGACCCCACAGCCAACACCCGCTCATTCATGTGGAACAGGCAGAGGTAAGGGGCCACGGGGTCAGCTCAGGTCTTTGCCCCCTGCCTGCAGGGCTGACAATACATGACGTGGACATCTTTGAGATCAACGAGGCCTTTGCAAGTCAGGTGAGCCTTTGTTTCTCTACGTTGCCTGGGCCCTAGGCAGCCCAGTTGGAGCCGGTGGTGCAGGGGACCAGGGAAGGAGCTGTAGCTGATGCTCTGCCTCCTTTCAGGCCGTCTACTGTGTGGAGAAGCTAGGACTCCCCCCTGAGAAGGTCAACCCTTTGGGGGGTGCTGTGGCCTTGGGCCACCCACTGGGCTGCACTGGGGCTCGACAGGTGATCACGCTGCTTAATGAGCTGAGGCGCCGCAAGAAGAGGTGAGGCTGGCTCCCTATGGGGGTGTCGTGGGAGATGCATACACACACGCTCTCTGAGGATGCAGGGGTGTGGCTTCCGTTTTCTCTGAGGGCCAGCTGTGAAGGGCACCCTGGCCTACACAGGCATCTGCCACCATGTGTGTGCTCCAGGCGGGCAGTCAGGGAACCAACCGCATGTCTGTAGATTTGCATCCTCTGTGCCCATGAAGGCCTTGGTCCACCCAGCTCAGCCTGGTCTGGGGAGAGCTTGGTGGTGGGGCCTCCCTCCTTTGTGCTTTCACCCAGCCAACACAGTGTTGCTTCCGCAGGGCATACGGGGTGGTGTCCATGTGCATCGGGACTGGAATGGGAGCTGCTGCTGTCTTTGAATACACTGGAAACTGACTGAGGCGCTTCCCAGACAGTCCTGCCCTGGAGGCTAGAAAGCAACACTACAGATACGATGCCATATGGGAAAATTCAGCACTGGGGGCAGCAATGGGCAAATCAAGGCACTTCAGCTAATTTGGAAAATGTGAACATTGATGATACAGTACGGGAGTGGGTGAGGCACTGGGTCACCCAGGCCACAAAGGCTACTGTGTAATTCCTGGGAAACAGGCCTCCTGGATGATGAGTGCAGTGGACACAATAAATGCGTGTCAGCTTATCTTGGTGGCCGCGCTTTACCCCAAGCGCCGTTTCTTGCTGTGCTGGTCTTGGTCTTGCCTCTGCGCAACCTGAGTGCTGATTCTTAACTGCCGTGGTCTCCCCGGTGACATGGCCTATGCTTTATATTAGCTCTGAGGATGTAAACGCAGGGTCTAGGCTGACCAATGCCATGGTAGGGGGTCCCTCCATCCCAGGAGCCGCCCAGAGGTTCTCCAGTGTGTGCCCCTGTTCTGTAGCTCTGGGCCATGTTTATTGCCAACGCTGGGGATCTGAGGGCAGAGCCTCAGAACTGGCAGGTAATACATATCTCTCGTCGTAAGAGCCTTGGCCCCGGAGCTGCAGGGTGCAGGTCTTCTCACCGAGCACACCTTCTACCACCAGCGTGGACTCATACAGCTCACTGCTCCTGTGGGCCACAGGGAGCTGAGGTTAGGAAGCAGCTCTGGGCCGGCGGGCAGTGATGGGGCGGCTCAGAGGGACTGGCCGTACCTGGCCGTGAAGAGAACCTGCAGGGTGATGAAGGGTGGAGGTGCATTGACTGGTCGTGCTTCCAGCAGTCCACTGCTTGGGGAGACGCTGAAGGCCACTTGGTCCTTGTCTGGCTCCTGCTGGCCTGCGCCGAGGGTAAGGGAGCACACATGAAGGCACGCAGTTCCATGCTCTGCCCCAGCAAGTCTCCTCGCCCCAATCTCTGGTGGGCAACCCTGCAGGTCGCCTGGGATTGGGGAGCTAGCCATCTCTGTAGGGGTTCCCAGGTGGCACTAGCCCTGGGGAGCTAGCTTAGATGGATAGGGAACACTGGCCCCTTCCTGGAGGTCCTAGCCCAGCCACACAGGAGCAGTGGGCAGACAGGAGGGCATGACATACCCATCAGCACAGCCCAGTAGCTCCGGCAGCTGCTCAGGTTCATCAGGTAGACGTCCCGGACCCGCCCCTGGTTCACAAAGCAGGTCCCGAAGTCCACCCAGCTAGTGGAGAGCTGCAGCTCGGGCATGGCCACAGTGGCCCGCAGGGGCACCACCTACGGGGACAGAGCCTTTAACTTGGCGGGGACCAGGTGGTCTTGCCCATTCCTGCTAGGCTGTGAGCCAAGGTCTCAGGGACACATAGGCCCTGCGGACTGCAAGCACTGACACTCCTAAGGAGCACACAGGCAGCACCATGGTGGGTGGAAGGGGCGCCACCATCTAAAGCCAGAGGCTGCTGGTGGGATTCTGAGCAGGTAAAGGGCCAGGAAGGCCCCCTGCCACCCCTGCCCTGATTAGGCTCTGGTCTCTGCTGCCTGGTTGGGCGCCCTGCCTTCCCCCTCCCAGATGGGCTCTGGGCCATCTCACCTTCTCTTGACAGACCCCACCTGTGCCCTGACTGCCCTAGCTCCTGGCAGCACCCCTCCCCCACCCCCACGTCACCCTCAGGCACTGCCATATTTGTACATATTTGTACAGCAGCAGCCCAAGTACCAAGCTGGAGGGCCCGCCTGGCTCCAGTGCTCAAATCCTTTTGGCCTCTGGAATCCGACCCCTAGGCCATTCCTTCCCATTCTTCACCTGCACCTTCCGGCTGGGCCCCTGCCTGCCTTGGCCTCTCCAGCTCAGCTCCACACCACAGTCCTGTGGTCTGCCACAGTCCACAGAACTAGGCCTGGGGTGCTCACCCTGGTGCCCAAAGCCCCACACGAGCCCAAGAGTCATCCCTCAGCTGCCTCAGGTGCTACTGTCCCCACACATCAGGCCATTCCCTCTTCCTGACTTTGAATGTAGTTTCCCTTCTCTCTTCATTAAACTGATTAAATAGAAGGCTTCACATGCCACCTCTTCCAGGAAGCCTTCCCTGACTTTTCACTGTATAGCCCCTTACCTGCTCTGAGCTCCTAAGACAAGGATGGAGGACTCTCATCTCTCCATGTGCAAGGCCTCTTCCATGGCAGATGGCCCTCAGGGCAGGGGCTGGGGCTCCTCTTATTCTAAGGGCCCTGCCAGGGCTTGTCCTTTCACCCCACCAGAACAGAGTTCCACCACCCTCAGCATGTGCAGCAGTCCCAGGACTCACCTGAGTGGTCTGGTTGGCGTACTCCAGGAGCAGATTCTGGGTAAACACCATCTCTCTCTCTCCACTCGCGCTCTGTTGAATGTCTACTCCGGGCAGCATCTGGTCAGCTGGGAGCCTCTGATAGGAGAGCAGCTCCAGGGATAGCGAGAAGGACACGTTCACCTGAGCAGATGTGGACAAGCCATCACCTCAGGCCACTAAAGGCAGGCGGTAGCTTTCCCACCTGGAGCTGCATCCTCCTGCCCTCGGACGGCCCCAGCAGGCCCGACAAGGTCCCGGCTCAGCCCTGCCCCACCTCAGCCTGCAGCAGACGGCTTGGTGGCTGGCTGGTCAGAGGAGCCAAGGACGAGGCGTGCCAGAGGTCCGGGTTGGCCAAGGGGGAGGGTGGTGTTATTTGCTGAGATAAAATGCCACCACTAAAAGGAGGCGCAGGTGTGGGCAGGACTGGGTGGGGAGGGAGACTGGGAATTTGTTTGGGAGAGAGTTCGGGTCAGGAGTCAGAGGCCCTGGCACTGGCACATGGCAGGCACTCAGTACACCTATACCGAAGTGAACATTTTGAAAGAGACTTCTCAGTGAAGCTCTGGAAGTAGCTGAGATGACCCCGGAGTGTGCAGAGAGGGGCGAGGGCCTAGCGGAGCTCTAAGGAACAGCAGCATAAAGGCAAGCCCTTCAGAGAGGAGGGAGGAGACAAGGAAGCAGGACAGGGTTAGGAGGGGGTGGGGGACCCAGCATGGCTGGCTGACCTGGGCCTGACTGTGCACATCCAAGAGCCCACAGTGCAGACATGGAGGTGCACACAGCCAACCACCCACATGGCCTGTGACCTGTCCTCATTCCAGATGCCTCAGAAACCAAACGAGGCAGACATTCATGTTCCCACTGAGACCCCCATCAGCAGAGGGAAAGTCACTGTGGCACCTGGGGTGCCTTACGTTGATGGAAAGATGGCAATCAAACCTTGAACTCACCCGAGCCGGGCACAAACCCTGCGTGAGGGCACGTCTGTGTGCAAAATGGAGGTGCTCATGGGAATGCCTCGGCCATGACCAGGACCTTGGCAGAGGAGAGGGGTCTGCTGTGTCTGGGACTCATGTGTGCTCACACTGATATGTTTGGTCCTATCTGCATGTGTAAGCCACCTGTGCAGGGGGCTGGTGTTTGCTGGAAATGGGGTGTCTAATGAGTTTGCTCCTGACTGCCCGTAAATGCACAGGGCGTGGGGGGGGGGTTCAAACGTGCAGTTTGGGTACACATATCTGTGTGTGCATAGCAACGTGAGGGTGGTATGAAGTATGTAGTCCTTACACGTGTGTGTATGTATGTAAGAGGAAGGTGGCTGCAGGGGAGTGGGCCATCCAGGGTGAGGCCCACAGAACCCTCCACTGACCAGCATGTTGTCCTGCGGGTGGAGCACCAGCTGCTTGGCCCCTGCTGCCGACTCCTCACACTCCTGCTCCCTGCCGGGGCCAGCTCGGTGGCTGCAGCTAGTTTCATCTTGAGAAACAGAGAAGGGCCTGGAGACCAGGAGCCGGAAGTAGTGTGGGATGTCCGTGGTGTTGGTCAGCTTCAGGTGGTGGGTGGTCACCAGCTCACTCAGCACCTGGGTGGCCACAGAGATGGGGGAGGCTGAGGGTACATATCTCCCCTCTCCTCAAGCCCATGGCTCTTGGTGTTGGGGAAGGGGACTCAGACTATAAGACATGTGCCCCAGAAGGGCCTATAGGGACATCTGAGGTCCAGGCACATTGGCGGGGCCAGGGGGTACAGCACACTCACCCCAGAACAGGGCTGCTCAGGGATGAGGTCACTGGCCTGGAGCCAGAAGTCCATGCCGCCGTCGTAGTCCAGCTCCACACTTAGGCTGCCAGCAACGGGCATCAGGGGGTCAGGCTGGGCTTCTGGGGCCTCTTGGTTGTGCCCACTCTGCTTATCTGGTCCTGGCCAGCCTTTCCCTGGGCTCACTTGCTGGCTTCTCCTCTATCCCATTCCTGTCATCTTGCTCCCAGAACCCTGTCTGGTCCCCACTAGTGCCCAGTAAGGGTACTCCCCACAGGGCGATGGAGGAGGGAGGCCAGGCAGCCCAGCCAACTCACTGTGCATGCCTCACGTAGCTATGCAGGTCCAGCCTCAGGGGTCCCACCGCAAAGTCCTGCAGGCGCCGCCTCCTCCCTGGAAGCTCCCTTTCCACCTACCAAGCCCAAGCCTGATTAGTGGCGGTCTTTGGGATGGGCAGGCAGTGTGCTACCCAGGAGAGAGGCAGTGGCTGTGGCTCTACCCTAGGCCAGGAGGGCTCACCTCGTTGTCCAAGCTCATGAAGCCCAGGGCGTAGCCAATACACTTCACCTTGTGCAGGATGTCGGGGCCAAGGACCATGGGTGTGAAGGAGATGGAGATGGTGCTGCTGCCCCCTGCAGGGACCTCCTGGCACAGGCACAGTAGCCTCAGCACTGCCCCAGGCCAGTGGGGACTCTGCGAGGCAGCTCCCAGCTCTGCCTGCCCCAACTCACCACCTGCTTGGGGCTGACACGGTACAGATGGTCACAGGGCACTCCCTCATGCCCCTGCAGGATGACCGAGATGATCTTTGAGTTACTGGAGCTGCTCTCCACCTGTCATCAAGATGTCACCGAGGCTCATACAGGCTCAAGGCCCACTGGCTACAGCTGGTCTGCCAGCCCACCCTGGCCCCCCTTCTCACAGACTGGGCAGCTTCATGGCTGGACACCGACTCGTTAGAGAGCCTTGGGGGCTGGAAGGAGCTGCTGCCCTCGGAGGTCTCAGAGCACAGGTCATTTCCTGCTCGGTCCTGCAGCGGGAAAGGTGGCCCATAAAACACCAGCAGATCCACCAGCCGGTCCTCCCTGTCATCCAGAGCATAGGTCTTCCAGTCCAGGCGGATGTCTGGGGCAGATGTGGGGGGAGAAAGGCGAGGAATAAGGAAGCAGCAGATGGATCTTCCCAACACCCCCACCTCCCTGCAGGCCCTTAGAGGCTGCCGGTTCTCCCATACTCAGTGTGGAGGGGGGCCTCACTTCCTCTCTAATGCCACTTCCAGGCAATTCTTGTTTTTTTAAAAAAAAAATCCACAGTTCTATGCCATCTGGCTCTATTACCCTCAGCCCTCCAGGTCCAAACGCACGAATCCAGGCACTCCATGCTCTCCCCAGCTCCTTGGGCCCTCCAACTCCTGTATTCCCTACCTTCTCCCCCTCCATCAGCCCCTGTCTGCATTCACTTCCTTCCCCAGCCAGGTTAGTCTTTGGGGGCCACCATGTCAACTTGTCTTACCAGGATTCTCAAATCTCCCTTTGCCCCCATCCTTCTGCCCACCTGGCAAAACCTAACCCTTAATGAACTGAACTGACTCTCTGGACCCCATTGGATAAAGCGCCCCACTTTCCAAACAGCTTGCCACACCCATAAAACTGCCCCCCATATAAACTGTGCCCCCGCTCTGTCCATCCCTCCATTTTGTACTAAGCTCTCCTTGCCAACCTGCACCATGACTGTCACATCTTCCCTGCTTTTCCCCTCTGACACCACTGCTTCCCTGACACTCAGCTGGTGGCCCCATCTCCCCTCCCAGAAGGCCCCAAATCAGGAAGTCCCGGAAGTCCTGTCCCACCCCCACCCCCACATCTGTCTGCACTGATCCCATCTCCCTCCTGCCTTCAATCTCTTCCCCGCCCCTCTTTTCTGGGACCAGACATGTCCAGTCTCCCCTCCCTCATAGCTGCTTCCCAACAGCACTTATTACAAGGTGAGGTTCCCCCCACCTTAAACAAGCGTCCCTCTGCCAGTTGACCTTTCTAGGACCGCCTCCTCTCTCCCTTTCATGGCAAGATCCTAGGACAAATTGTCCATCGTCACCTCCCCTCCTCAGCTCTTATCCACTCCCCAGTTAACTTCTGAGTCACAGGCTCCGCCCTGAGGGACACACACCCAAGGTTCCCGGTCTTGCATTTCTTAGGATTATTACCTGGCACCTGCCTCTTACAGCCACCAAATCACTCCCACCGAAGGCCACCCATGACCTCTATACCCTGAAATTCAGTGGACAATCTCACTTTCAAGTAAAGACAGAGAAATGTACATGTGATGATGAGCCCCAAGGTAGGGAAGGCACCCACTAAAGGAAAGTAGAAGAGAAATTCCCAATGAAACAAAGGGAAAACAGAATCAAGTCACAAAAAGCAAAATGAAAAAAAAGTAGAAAAATTAAAATAAATGATAAAACAAGAAGAAAGAAATATATAGATTTATTGACTTTTCCTCTTAAAAGACAGAGGATGGCAGGTTGTGTTTTTTTTTTTTTTTTAGCTGAGCCATCCCGCCACCTGTTGGCAAGGCAGGTTGTGTTTTTAGAAAGCTCAGCTCTCTGCTGTTTACAAAGAAACACACATCACAGTCACAAAGGGTGAAAACAGAGGGGTGGGTGAAGAGATACCAGGCCGATGCCAACACGCGACCAGGGTAGCAACGTTAATATAAGGCGAGGGGGGATTTAAGCACTGACGGGGACAACGAGGAACATTACAGGATGAAAAAAGGCATCATTTATGAAGATGTTGTTCTCAAGTGCACCTAACAACAGAACAGCTAAAAACATAAAACTACTGGAAATGCCAGGAGAGCTTGATAAAGACATCAAATTATGGCATGTGATAAAGATATAATTGCACAGATCTAGTAGACAAAAATCAGCAAGATCTCACAGAATGGCAGTTCTCTTGCCCAGCTATACATTCCTGAAAATCACCAGAAGAGCTTAAAAACCCCAGTGCCCAGGCCCTGCCCCTAGAGACTCTGGTTCAGTTGGTCTGAGGCGGCCCAGCCTTGGCCCTCACTGGGAAGCTCTGACTGGTTCTGCGCTGGCCACAACTCTTCCTATGGCCCAGACACTTTTCATCCCTATAGGCTCCCCCCGGCCCAGTGGGCTGGCCCTTCCACCTGTACTCAGCCTGAGCGCCTCCACAGGGGAGCCTGGGCCCCTTGATACAGTCCCCAGTAGTCTGGCCTTCCCCTGTGGTTACCCTCAACGCACTCAACACGCTAGCAGCCCACAGTCTGTCCTGCCCATCAGGACAGAAGCCACTCAGCAGACGCCTAGCTGTCCTGTTCCCTCTGTATCCCCAGCAACATGCACAGCGCCAGGCATGTAGCTCAGATGCTGCTGGCTAAAGGAATGAGAAACGGTGTCCCCTGCAAGTGTCTGTCCTCGATAAGAGCAGGGCATCTGTGGCCCCAGGGACACTGGGAGACCCTGGGTTGGGCAAGGCCAAGTCCTGTCCTCAAGGATATAAGTGGCTGTCTCTGAAAACACCCATCTGGCTTAGTCACTCCCCACCTTGGCCCTCAGGGGCCTCCCTCAGTAATCACAGGCCACCTGGACTCCTGGGTCCTGGTCATGGGCCATCAGATTCCCCAGCCCCATCTTCCCTCCCAGCCTGGCCTACCCATGGCACAGCCTGTAGTGAGAGCCCAAATTTATCCCGTGAGCATCTCACCACAGGGGCTGGAGTTATGCAGGCGAAGGATCCGGGTAACTCTATCTCCTCCAGAGACCTGGGTGCTGAACCTGGAGGCAGGAGAGCAGGCTGAGCTCAGCCACAGCCAGCACACACCTTGCAGGCAGGGAGGGTTACTTCAGATAGGATGGCTGGGGCTGGGACTCAGGCAGGGAGGAGGCGCCACAGTGGTCTGTCTTCATCCTGGAGTCCCCAAGGCCCAGGGCTTGGAGGCCTTCCCCACGTAGTGCCTGGTGAACTGTGACCCAGGGCTGCTCACTGCCCTGGTAACACCCTTCCCCCCACCCTACAACCACACTGAGCACCCGACAGATCCCACCTCAGTTGGTGTGAGGGGTCCCAGGCCTGGCACGAACCTCAGGCCACACTGACTACTTGCTACTTCTGTCCCCCAAAAGCCTTCTGAGGTGTGCAGGTAGCAGCCATGTCCCCTGAGGCCTCTCCCCTCCAGGGCAACCCTGTCCTGTGGCTTTCTTGCTGGGTGGCACCAAGTAGCCCTGGGTCAGTTGAAGAGCAACAAGGCCGCCAGAGGGTTTCAAGGGGGCAGAGGAGGAAGCTGGGGGTGGGGCACCTGATGACAGGCTCCTTCTGGAACGGGTCAGTGGTGTAGTTGGTCCTCATGGAGCTGATGGGGCAGCCCACCACTGCCATGTGCACCGGGATGACTGATGGAGGCAAGTCTCCCACCTGCAAACACGCCAAACCTCTGTCACTCTTGTCACCAGCTGCCACCACCTTCCCTGGCTCATTTCCTCTATGCAAGTCCCTTCCTTCTCCAGCCAGCCCAAGCTCTCCACAGCTTGGTCCGAGCTGAGCCCAGACTCACTCCCCACTGTCTGATGCTCACCCCAGATACCCCAAAGGCATGGGGCTGCCTGGCCTCCCAGCCCTGGCGTCCCTACCCTTCCCTGTGTCTCGGCTCTCCTGCCCAGCCCGAGACCTGCACAGGTCTCCCAGCCCGACCATCTTTGGCCTCTTCTGGCCCTTCTGATCACATTTCTGTAGCTTTGAAATGGAAAGAACTTTATTATTTCTCTCTGCTAATAAAAAGTAATACATGGTGGTTTTTTTAAATTAAAATATAGAGTGTGATAATCACCAATAATCCTACACCCTGCAGCATGACTCACTGTCAATATTTTCGTGTGCAAATGTCTAGATAGACTTCTGTACATAAAACAGAGACATAAATGAGGAGCATCCGAGGCATGCTTTTGTTTTGGTAATCTTTTCTTTTCACAACATAATGATAATTTTACTAATGAAGGTTTACAGTGTCATTTAAAGGGCTGTGCGAAATATCCAAGCCCATATTTTTATCAACTCTTCTACTGATGGACATGGATGCTTAGGTTGTGCTCCCCCGCTCCTCCCCTCCCCCTGCCCCACTGTAAACTATGCTGAGAAGAAAAGGAGACCTGGTACGAAGGTATTTGTTCACATATCCACGTCTTTCCTTGGGGAAACTTTAAATGTGTGTGCCCAGCACGTGGCAAAAGGGCCTGCACGGGGCGGCACACACTTCCCACCCCGTGTCTGCAGTGCAGGAGAGCACGCTTCCCCCCGCACCTCCACGCACAACTTTTAAACCTTGTGACTCTTACCAAACCTGGTATTTCAGTGTGAGTTTAGTTACCCGTAATGGTGACATATTTTATATGTTCACCGGTCACCTGAATCTGTCATTCCTGAATTACCTGTTCAAATCCTTTGCCTGCCCTGGGTGCTTTGCCCCCACCCCCCCAGCTTATTGTGAGTTAAGCACTCTTGGTACATTAAGGTGCTCAACCCTTTGTCATACGTAATACAAACAATAGAAAGCAAACATCTGCTATAATTAACCTGTCCGGTATGCTAAATAGCTCATGAAAATCTTCTGTGCCATAACTAAATAGTGCAGAATATACATGTCTCACCCCTCCATATTAAACCGGGAGCTCCTTGTTGGTATCATCTGTTATCTTATTCATCCCTGTATCCTCCACAATTCAGTGGACCACACAACAACCCATACACAGTAGGTGCTCAATTCATGCTGAATAGTGAGTAAATGAATGACTGATGGGAGAACGAATGAATGCACTGAGGGCTAGATGAGGATTTGGCTCTGGGGGGATGTTACTGTCTCTCCACACTTACCCGGCCCCCCTGCCCCTACCACCACCCCCATTCCCCCATCCCCGCCCCCAGGTCCTGGGGTCCTAGCCCAGGTAGGCAGCCTCTCTGATTCCTCTGTCCTCCTCAGTGTGGTCCCAGCCTCACAGGGCCTCACAGGAAAAGGTGTGGGCGGTTCCACTGTTTGTGAGGTTGCTTCCTGCCTAAATCCCAGCGGTGGCTGCATATGAGAATGCCCGTCCCCAGCTCCTTGGGCATCATCTTTCTACTCAGTGAGATTTGAGAGGCTGGGGGCCAGGTGTTGGGGAAGGGAGAGCCTGAAGGTGAGGGCCAGGGTCAGGTTTCCCTGCACCCCAGGCCATTCCCCACAGGGAAGCCCTTACCGTGCAGATGAGGTTGTCCCAGTACTCGCCCCACATGTTCGCACATCCTGTGATGTTGACACGTAGCTGCTGGTGGGGCCCCAACACGCCCTGGGAAAGGTGGGGAAAGAAGGCTGCTCCTTTCCCATGAGACAACATGCTTTCCATAAAATCTGGGGGGAAAGCCAAAAAGGGGGTTTCAGGACCTTCAGGAGTCAGCAAGGCACTGTAGACAAGCCACCCTACAGCCTCTCCTAGGTCCAGTGAAACAAACCCTCTTCCTGGGAGCCCAGAGTCCAGGGACCAGCCTCCCTCAGCTCCAGCCCGTGGAGCCAGGCCCCAGTGGAAGCCCTCCTTCCTGAGCCGCTGCCCATCCCAAATCAAATCCAGGTCCTGTGCATGCGCCTTATGCCCTAGCAAGGAGGTGGCCTCATTTAAAAGAAATGTGCTGTCAGGTGGAGAGCCACGGCCACCTCAGGGACCTTGCTAGAAAAGACACTGAGGTGGTCAGGGTCCCCTCCCTGCAGCAGGTGTCCCACATCCTCAGAAGGCCACGGAAAATCCCACTCTGGCCAGGTCTGGGCTCAGTGCCCGCCCTGGTGCTCTTACCCAGCTGCTCTCGCCTGGCCAACTGCTTACGAATCCTCGCTGTCTTCAGCAGGGCAGGAGACACGTCGGGGCTTTACCAGGTGGGACAGAGAAATAGCATCAAGCCATCTGGGCCTTCCCTCAGACCTGAGCCACCTCCCCTGGCAACCAGCATCCCAGCAGATGCCCAGCGGAGGAAGGTGGCCCGGCCTGATCCTCCCAAGGGTGAGCTGGTCAGGTCTCCACCTCCTTCTCTGATCTTCACTCTTGCTACATCACCCGCCACCCAAAGCCACTCACCAGCCCCACAGATTGCCTCCCCCTACCCTCAGGCTCTGTTCCTGGGTGACCCCGGGATGCAAGCCCACCCGGACTCCCCGTCTCTTGCCCAGATTTCTGCAACAGGCCCGTTTCCAATCTTTCCTGCTGAGATCTGTCCAGCAGCGAGTGCACATTAACTTTTCTGGACTGGAAAGTTTATAGCTTAGAAACTGTTAGGGGCTCCCCACTACCCACAACGGTGGTTTTTAAGGTGGGCCCCCCGTGTTAGGCAATTTGGCGGTAAGGTGTTTGTAGTGGTGCGCTGCTAAACTGTCAATTTCAGTGGTGTAAATACTTTCCCTATGGCTGATTTCAAGTTACAGCTTTGCAAAATGCCTCACCGCCACATCTCTGTCCCCACAGTCCCCTCACCTCCAATAGCTTCTCCCTCATCCACGGTCCTAAATACTGCCTGGTCTGTCAGAAGCCCTCCATCCAAGCAGGCCAGGCCGAGGAGAAGGGGCCACAATCCCAGGCCTCTCAGGGTCTTGGAGGAGGGCAGCAGGAACCACTCCCTCTCCGCCTTTCCCCATGTCTCCTATGAAAACACATCCCCCCACTCCCCACGCCCACCAGCCTCTGGCCACCTAAGCCACACAGGCCCAATGGGGCAAACCCCTCCTGGTCACGTCCTCCCCGGTTGCTGCCTCTGAAAGAAACCAGACTTACAGGCATGGTTTTTGGCGCCGGCTATTTTGAGGGCTCCCGAAGTACTCAAACTTGAGGGTGAAAAGGGTCTGTATCGGGGAGTGATTGGTCAGGATGAGCTGGCGATTCACGCAGGTCCTCAGTGGCACCGTTGAGCCAAAGTCCAGGTTGAGCTCCTCCTTGTGGCCTGGCCACAGCTCTGTGCTGGGAACACTGCCCGGTGCCCATGGACACTAGGTTACAAGCCACCCTTGGTCTTGCCCAGTGAGCCACCTTCGGTGGGGGTGTGAGAGCTGACTAGAAACCAGCCTTCATCCTCGGGCTCAAGCCTCATCAAGCTGCCACCCCACAGGTGCACCCTTCTTGTCAGCCCATAACTGGCCTCAAACTTCACAAACTCTCCCTGGCCAGGGGCAGACTGGCTTGTCTCCCAGTTGCTGGGGCTCGTGAGGAAAAGTCCAAGGTCCCTACAGCCCTGTCCCTAGTCATCCCCTACCTGCCTGGACACCATGCCTCCAAGTGTTGGGGGAAAGCCCACACAGAGGGTAAGGACGGGGTAGAGGGATCTGTTCCCACAGAGGTGGCGAGAAACCACAATAACTCTGTGGCTGCTTCCTGGTTGTAGGAATCAGCTGGAAGGGGGCTGGTACCACAGGGCAATGCTGGTCCTTCATATGGTCACCTCAGCACTCAGGTCCTGGCCCCAGCCCTGGGCTCACCTTCTATCAGGGCCCTCTTCCAAGATGGCGATGGCCACTTGCAGTCCCTGGGGTTTCCCAGAAATGCCCAGAACCAGTGGCTCCTTCATGCCTGACACGGTACAAGGGAGGGCCAGATCGGTCAGCTCTTCCTATAAGAAAGCCCATCAGGGGCACATTAGCACAGGTAAGTCCCAGGGCTGAGCCTCAGAAGATGGGCCTCAGACGGTCTTCCCCAGCACAGGTGGTTGCTGTAGTTCTTGACTTCTGTCCAGGCTCTCTGTGGAAGGGCTCCCCAGTCCCTCCAGTGAGCCACCACCCACAGGCCCAGCCTGTCGGCCCGCACCCTGCCCCAGGAGCCTTGGCCCCTTCCTCAGGACTCCTGGCTGTGTCTGATCCAAATACCTCGGCACTCCCATGTGAAGGGAGACCCTCACCGTGGGCCTCTGGAAGAGCCACACATTTATTCTGATGAAGCTGCTACCACAGAAGTCAAACCCTCCTGAGTGAGGTCTGCTCCGTGCCAGGCCTGGGCCCATCTGTCTGTCACCCTAGAGCTCAGGCTAAGCTATGTAAGAAAGCCCACTGTCCCCATGTTTGCCAGTGAGGAACTGGGACCTGGGTCTGCAAGTCTCCATAGGAAGAAGTTTCTTCTTCACATGCCTTCCTGTGGGCGGCACCACGGAGAAGTTGTGCCCTGCTTAGGAGGAACCTGGCTGCCAGTTGGCCACCCCAGCAGCACCCAGCACAGGGCCTGCCGTAAGCAGCAGCTCTGCTCAGGATCTCTGGGCAAACTGGAAAGATGGGCCCACCTTTGGCCACAGAAAATGGCCTGGGGAAGGTTACAGTTGGTGCCAAAGTCTAGATGTGGCCAATGGGTTTCAGGCCTGCTCCAGGCTTCCTGACTTTGTGTCCCTAAAGAACGGGCCTCACAGGAATGGGGACCCCATATCCAAGTGCAAGAAAACTCTTCCCCAGTCACAAAAACCAGGAGTGGGCCTGGAGGCAGACCTCCCTGCCGGCAAGGACACAGACAGTTGCAGGGTGTCTTCCCAGTCCCTCAGGCCCCCTCACACCCCTACTCACCTGGGTATGAGCAGTCAACTCCAGACTGAGCTGGAACTCCTCATTGGGGCCCAGGGTGCCACATCTGGGGGAGACTTTTGCTGTGCAGAAGCTTGCTTGGTGCCCCAGGAGCTGGAGGACATATGGATGGGCCTATTATCATGTGCTGGGCTCCCAGGATGGACCCGGGGTCCAGGACGAGTGCTCAGCACTGCTGCATGCTCTGCTGGAGGTTGGAAGACTGGGGGCCCAGAGCAGGACCACCAGCAGGATGGGGATAAACCACAGGTCCCCTCACCAGTCCTCCCTGACCCCACATGGACTTCACACCTGTCGAAGGTTGCCTGGACTAAACAAACTGCCCTGGGAGGCCCAGGGTGATGGAGAGAAGGCAGCTGCCTCTGCTACACAGGAATGTCGGCCCATCTCCCATGGCATGCAGAGCAGGCTCCAGTCAGCCCCAGGGCCAGAGCCCCAGCTGGGCTCCCAACAGCTGCATGGACTTGTCACGGGCCATGCTGGGTGGGAGGTCTAGCTGTGTGCACCACAGACTCCTTCTCAGGAGGGGAACTGAGATTCTCTGAAAGCACGGCAAGGAAAAGCCAGACCAGATGTGCGGCTCCTTGGAGGAGCCCAGCTTTTCTGGGCACTGTGGGACAGAGGGAGGCTGAGCATCTGTTCTGGGGGGCGCCTTCAGGGCAATGTCCCCCTCCACATGGGCCTCTGGTGCTGAGGGCTGCAGACTTGGTGCCGACAGTGCGGGCACACTCACCATGCCCCAGTGGAACTGGGTGGGCAGGAGTGTGCCGTTGATGAGTGTGATGGTTGCCTTCATGGGCACGCCCAGGTAGAGATTGCTGAGCTCCACCTGGCTGCTCTGCAGGTACACGTGGGGCTCCTGTACCTCGGCATACACTGGGAGGTAGCTGGGGCACAATGAAATGAAAGGCATGCTGATCAGAAAACAAGAAATAAAACTGTCCCTATTTGTAGATGACATGATGGTCTATGTAGAAAATTCCAAGCAATCTATTTTCTAACAACTCCTAGACCTAATGAGTCAGCAAAGTGATAGGGTACAAAATCAACATACAAAAACAAATCAGGGCCGGCCGAGTGGCGCATTGGTTAAGAGCTGACTTGGGATGCCAGAGGACCCCGGTTTGGATCCCACAT